GTGTGCAGTTGTATAAATGGCGAAATGCACATCAGCACTCAGAAAATGGCAGTGGCATGCTTTTGAACTAAAACAACTTTGAGGTATTTTTAAAAGTGCTTTTAAAAGTTCCCGGCACTGCAGTGCAAGCATATGTACAAATGCCCTACACATGCAGGCATTAAAATGCATTAATGCTGTGTGTAGACTGACTTGCAACTAAAGTTAGTTTCAAGTCAGTCCGCAGAAACACAGCATTAATGTGCTTTAATGTGTCTACATGTTTGTTAATGCACTTTAACTATTTGCACCTAAATCTGATACCTGCATTTGAAGGTGTCAAATTTAGGTGTGAATAGCCTAAATTTGCCATTTTAAAGTGCATTAAGGGTATGCACATGTAGATGCATGCCCTAAAGCAGTGGCGACATGTAGGGGGTGCATGGGGGTGCACATGCACCCCCTGAGAGCACTGATGCACCCCCTGATAGCTCTGCTTGCTGCTTAGGCGTTGGGCAGGGGGGTGCAGGTGGGAATGCAGGTGCCCCCCCCGAAAGCACCAGCTGATTGCTGTGCTCACTGCAGCCACTTTTGGGAGTGATCAGCCGGTGCTTACTTCCAGAAGTGGCTGCAGCCCCTCCTGGAAGCAGTGCAGTGCAGTGAAGGCAGTGATCAACCGCAGTGATCGGCTGTCCTGGGATAGCCTAGGGACTCCCCCCGCCTTGGTCCACAGGATCGCCCAGAGAGGACAACCCCCCCGGGACTAATCGCAGGGGGGGGCACATGTGCCCCCTGACTAAAGCAGCACCAGTCACCCATGACCTAACGTGCCTTAAAATTAGGCTAATGCACCTTAAAGCATTTCAGGTAGACATGCTCTTAGTGTCTAAGGCTGTGTGTAGATGAAACGAGAGGTGTGTGTGCATGACACTTTAAAGCGGGCTACATGCTTTTGTACCACTTTAATGGTGTCAGTGTTTGCACACCTCGGCAGCATATTGCGCATTAATTCCAGCCACTGTAGGAAATTCAGCAGTGTAATGCACCTTAAATGACTTGGGGCACAGCAAACTAATATTTCTTTGAGCAGTTTTAGTTTGCTGCCCCTACAGCTGTACGGTGAGACACCAGGCTCTGTGCAGCTCCACGGCTCTGCAAGAAGCCCTGCAGGCAGCCTGACAGCAGCCCAGGAAAGCAGGCTCCGCCCAAGAAAAGTAGCAAGCCTGATTCCCCCTCCCCTCTCACCCCGGAGCCTGCCTGCCTAAGATGCGTGGAGGCCTGGTATTTCCCTTCACAGCTGTGGTCCCCCCCCAGGACTGCCTAAGCTGAGTGTCTGCGCGGGAGGGGAGGGTGCAGGGGGGCGTGTTTTTTAAAACCCACCGATTCAATTTAGGGCCCCTGTTTCATCTACACATGCCCTAATTCTGCAAATTTTCCACATGATTAGAATCTCCCTGCAATGAACGGTAAGTGTCTTTTTGAATAAGCAGCCCACGCTTACTAGGGGTGTGTGAAATGGGCTGTATTCGATTCGGATTCAGCCCAAATTGGGAACAATTATTCGATTAGTTGATTCGGATCACTGTCCTGATTCAATTCAGCCAAATCTGAATCTGAAGATTCAATGCTGATTTGGAGAATCAACGATTCGGACCTAGATGCAGCTTTAAATATTTTTTCTACATACCTTGAGGTATCAGGCAGAGCTTGTGAATGCTGCGATGCTGGGGTGGATGAAGTGTCCCACAGGAACATGGTTGGGCCCCCCGCGTGCTTGGCGGTGAACCCGGAAATGGACCAGAAGTACTTCCGGTACACTTTTGGGTCAGCTGCTGAACATGCTGGGGGGCCCCTCCCATGTCCCCCAGCTCAGTGATCAGATACAGGGGGACCCTGGGTGCCCCCAGGCCCAGGAGGCACCAGTCGCTGAGCCGGGGGGCAAAAGGGAGGGTCCCCAGCATACTCCCTGGCGGACCCAGAAGTGGATCGGAAGTGCTTCTGGTGCACTTCTGGGTCTGCTGCTGAGTGCATTGGGCCCCCACCCATGCTTCTGTGGGACTCTCCATCCTCCCAACCATCTCAACGTTCATGAGCCGCCTGGTACCTTGAGCTATGTAGAAAAAAACTTAAAGCTGTGTCTATGGCTGAATTGTCAAATCTTTCCAAATTGCTCTAAATTGATTTGGAGGGTTCTGATTTGATTCAGTTTGGAGAGATTAAAGGGTCTCCTGATTCAATTCGGATTTGGAGATTCGGCCACTGAATCAGGCTGAATCTCCACCAAATCGGATCAGTGACCAAAGCTTTGCACAGCTCTAATGCTTACTGCTTCTGTGTGGTTGTCATTTTTTTTTTTTGGTTGAGGTATTACATTTCTATTTTTCCAGTTTCATTCTGGTTTAGTGACAAGACAAGCATGGTTTTTCCAAAACTGCTACCACGTAGGGGTGGCAGCTCCTGTTTCAATGAACTTCTGAATGACCATCCATTGAATGACAAGCTCAGTGTTATGAGAGCAAAAGAACAAAAATCAGCATTTCCTTTCTATATCCAGCTACCAACTTGGTTCAGCTTCTTCATCAGACTGTCTCATTACAACCACCCACCTTCTAGTGCCTGCTTCTTGCTTCTAACCAGTTGTACTCAACACACTCTACTTCTTCACATTTGTTATTTATTCACCCTGTTTGTCTTTTCTGGTTTTTAAGACTTGATTTTCTTCATACATTAAGCATCTGGAATTGACCTGGTTGAGATTTTTTCTGTTGGATAATGCCAGTTTGTTTAAACTGAAACTGTTCATGGGAAAGGACCAATTTTGAGAGATTTCCTGTTTGAAAACAGTTTTGGAGAGAAGTTTTGGAATTACTAACCCCTCCTATTTTGCTATTTTTTAAAATTGCTAGTGCTTTGCTTTGTTAAACCTGCCCATGGCTTTCTTAGATATACCATGCACTTTCCTACCTGTGCAAGTAAGGGTCAGTGTCTCCCAATGAATGTCATTTTTGTCAGTGATTTCCAGGCTGCCTGTACAGATTGTAGAAAATATATTATTCGTTTTTTTTCTTTGTTTCAAAAATATAAAATGACTTCAGGAGGAATAGAAGGTGGGTGGGAAATATATTTCCAACTAGTTACAAAAACAGATGATTAAAGCAGAACATGTGTACTATCTCCCAGGAAATGTTTATGTTGAGCATTAAGAAAGAAAGCAATAAAATGAACATTTAGAGCTGTTAGACTAATTTATCCTATAACAAATCTAAGCATATGGGGAAACCTGCAGATACCTCTTTATGGCATCTACCTGTGGTATTCCCAGGAAGAAATGTCTTTAAAATATTGGTTGTTGTGCTACTTCCATGTTGTATATCAGAAGGTTGCCTGTGTTGGGTGGAATATCTAACATAATGACTGGTATCCATCATGTGTTTGATAAAAGGGTGCTTCTCTGATCCATGGCATTTGATCACGCAAGAGAGAAAATTCTGTAGCACTAACAGACATGACAACATTTGAATTCCTTTTGATTTCTTCTGGTATACAATAGAAAACTGCATATTTTTGTAGTTATAGTGTGAGATCAAGATGCAATTTAATGATATTGTGCTTGATTCAACTAGTATATTATTTATTTTCCCAATCAATAACATTTGCATTTCTAGATAGCTCATTAGGTAAGGAATAAGAATGTAAATCAACTGCAGTATCTTTCCTTTTAGTTGCTTTTAAAGGGTACAGTGATTTTTTTTTTTTTTTTTGGCTAAAGCTGTAAATATGAGAAATATTTTCTCTCTTTGCTCAGCTAACACTTAAGTGCTCGAGAGGGAACAGACAGTGCTTATGCATGTGAAGATTGTGTGTTGTTCAGCTTCTACAGGGCTGATTGTTACCTTGGGAACTGGTTTTATAGATCTAAAATTCTTCACTTTCCAAGCATCTTGAAGACCTTAAAAACCTAGGCAAGCCCTGGCAAAAGTTCAGTGCCTTTTAAAAAATCTGATTAATATTTGAAACTCTCAAACATTTTAGGTTCAAAATCCATGCATGGTATTTCCTGTTCTGTGCTGATGGGAAAGCAAGGGGGAGAGACCTGGAGGCTCTGATCCAAAAAAGGGTCAAGTCATTGTACTTCTCAGTTTTGTAATGCCTCACTTATACATGTTTGGTACCTATAGTGGAATCCCCAACCCTGAGCTAGGTGCCCTGACCACCTATACAATGCAGGGGAGAGTCAGGTGCCTTAGAATGGAATCCACAACAACATGTATGTTGAGTGGGGAGCCTTGTAGTGTAGTCAGTATGGAAACGTTGAGGATAGAGGTGTCAATTAAGGTCCAGATCCCCAAAGGAACCAAGCCACCTAAAAGTGGGGCTCAGATGGAATTTATATACCATGAAGGCACTATGGGTGGATCTAGGATTTTGAAAGGTGGGGGAGTGTAGTGCATCATCATATAACACAACACTTTTTTCTCCTGTTAAAAAGAAACCAGAAGCTTCACTAATAAGCAAGGGGCCTAGAGCTACACTATTCAATTTAAGATTGAAGCACGAAAAAGCAAAAACTTTATTATAATGTGCCTTACTTTGCTATGTCACATATTAGACATAAAACCAAAACAAGCGAAGCAAAAATAATCAAAAGATGTTGTTTCATTAGTCCTGTAGTCCTTACAGTTAAATGTATGTCTCTTTCAGATTCATAAAACAAAATCTAGCCTTCTTGAGCATCTTGACAGTTATTGAAAGTTATTTCCACATCTGAGTTAGTGGTCGCCTGAGTTAACATTTCCACACCTGAGTTAAAGTTTCTATCTAGAATTAAAAAACAAAAAAAGCAGGCTGCACTGCTTTGAAATGAGAGCTACATTATTTGGAGCAGCTAACAGACAGTAGAATTGCATAAGTAAAGATAGCTTGAGTGTTGGAACCATTAAAGACCATTAAAAAGGAAAGAGGATCATTAACACCTAGAGAATGAAGAGTTTAGAAGGAATTGAGGGGCCTTTGTACATGCCACAAAATTAGCCTTTAAAGCAGCTTAAATGCCTTTTGCACCCCTTTAAAGGTGCAGCTGTTTACACTGTTGGTGGTATATTGCACTTTAACGGTGCGGCTGTTTACACTGTCAGCAGCATATTGCAAGTTAATGACTTTGGGATATAGCAAAATAAAACACCTTTGAGGTGTTTTAGTTTGCTACCTAACAAAGTGCAAGAGCTGAGGAGGGAAGCACCGGGTCCCATGCAGCTTAGAGGCTGTGCAGGCAGGTCATGCAGGCAGCCTGGCAGCAGCCCATATAAGCAGGCTCCACTGAAGGAAAAAAAAAGTGGCGAGCCTGATCTTTTTTTTCCTTCTCCCTAGAGCTGGCCTGCCTGAGCTGCACAGGGGCCTAGTGCTTGCCTCCATGGCTGTGGGGGGGGAGGGGAGAGGGGAGCAGTGCTTCCATCTGCAGCTTCAGTGCCTCCCCTGGATTGCCCAGGCTGGGCCACCTGGGCGGTGCTGCTGCCACCACCATAGAGGGAAACACTGGTCCCTCCGCAGCTCAGGGACTGCTCGGCCCACTGGCGGGTTGCCCGCTTCCCCCTCCCACCCCCCTTCTCAGCTGCCAGAGAGGCAGGTAAGGATTGGGCCTGGCCTTTGTGTACATGCCATGGGGGTTCATTTCAGTTTAATTCAGTGTTTTTAAAAATCCAGCACTTCAATTTAGGGAAAATGCAATGCAGTAGCAGTTAGAGCTTTTTTGTAAAATAGGCCCAGAAATAAGGTGATTGTGATGCCCCCAATTCATACAATAGTTTCATGGTTATAGTACTGGCAATGGAAGTGTGAGAACCAGATTTAGTTCCCTACTCTTCAGAAGAGATTCAGATCCATGTCTCCCAGCTCTAACTTCAGTGCTCTAAAGACTATAGACCATAAGTTCCTTTGAGAGCAGTGGTTAGTGCTCCTTATTCCTACCTCTGCTACCTGTTCTGTTTTCCTACAGATATTACAGTAGCCAGTGATTTGGGAAACCTTGCTTGAGACCTAGGACCTGTTTTTCAGAGGCACCAGTCATCTTCAGGGAAAGCTGCAAGTTCTGTACATTTCTAAAGCAGGCACGAAAGATTTAAGTGCCAAAAATAAGTTATATTTTTAAAAGCTTTGGCCTAGTACCAGATATCCAACTTAATCTGCACTGTTAATACATGTCTCTGAATAGAACAGATGAATATCAACAGAACATTGATTGAAATCTCTAGAAAAATAAGGGACGTATCTCATACCCGTAATATAGATGCAGGAAAAAGACTGCACCCCTAGCAGCCCAGGGAAATATAAATGCTTGCAAGCTAAAACCAGTTATATTTACCATTAGAGACCATTGTATGTATGTACTTTTTCTTTTTACTTTTATTTGTTACATTTCCCCACTTTTGTGTGACAGGATTCCCAAGTTATTCAGCTCTTTAGAAAAATCGTTTTTCCTCAGGAAGAGATACTCGGCCTCTGCAGTACTGTTTTGTATCAAGATTTGGCTTACCTAATTGATGAATAGCCTTGTGTGTGATGATTTTATAACCCCCCTCCTCCATTTATCTTTTGAGAAATTGCTATGTTAGTAATTATGCTAAAGGATTAATGAAAAAAATAAACTGGGAAAAACAGGTTATATCATGCAGATAAAAACAACAAAAATCCCATTTCTTCCCTTATTTGAGAGAGGGTTTCTGCGTAAAGATTTAATCTTTAATTACATTTATGTATTTTATTTATAGTCCTTTTTATTATTTTTCCACAACATGCTGACAAAGCAGTGGTTTTGTTAACAGAATCTATGGTATTGCTATAATAAATATTACAACAAAAATCCCCTCTTAACTATTTCCCTGAGCGTTTACAGTTTGAGAGTACATTTAGGTTTGGCCACCATGAATTCATACTCTGTATATGTGATAGGAAAATCACCATTGTGAAAATATTTATTGCCTTAATGGGTCCAGAACTGGCATGGAATAACAAAGGCAAAGCTAACAAACAAGGAAAGAAGTTTGTGTTTATTGGCATAGAGCAGAGCTGAAGCCAGTTGTTCACCAAATTTGATTTTCCAGTGACTGAAGCTACTATTTTTACAAAGACATACCTAGGTTTACCTCTGACCTTGTTGGTAAGGATTGTATTAACCTTGTAATACATTGTTTGTCAATGTAAGAAAATAATTTGTGCAAGGTTTTATGTAGAATAAGCTTCAGCTTCTGTGAGCAGAACAAAAATTCCTCTGGTTTCCTCTGATAATAGTCAATTCCTCTGGCAAAATTGTTGTCTAGAATCCACACAGCAGTACTGGGCTTAGGCTCCTGGAAGGAAGGGCCTGCATGCTGATCATCTCATTTCACAATGGAGGTAACAGTGTAAGTGAATAAAGGCTGCTTGCAGATGTTAACCTCCTCCCCCACCAAGGATGCTTTAGTTTAAACTCAGCACGTTCCTGCACTGAACCCAAGGCATGCCCAAAGTGGCAGCGCCTTAGTTGAACCAGGCTCACCTGATGTGTGTATAGATTGGGCACTTTAGTGGGGCTTTTTTGGAGCTTTTATCTAATAGCTGATTGAATGTGCTTCAGATCAAAGCGCCGAAGAGCCCTGCTGAAGTGCCTGATCTATACAGATGCTGCAGAGCTGGGTGGAAGTAACATACTGTCTCTTTTGGTAAGCAGGGTTTTTTTTTTTAAATGTCTGCAGGCAGCTAAAATGCTTATTTTATACTTTATGCATTATATTTAAAATATCCTCAGATTCTATATAATCAGTTTCTTCTTTATTATGAAGCTGTTCTGTGTAGTCTCAGACACCTGCTGCAACCCAGAAGAGGGGCATCAGAGTGGAAGACTGGTACCAAAAGAGACAATGTTATAGCTCATGCCAACTTCCGTGTAGAATTAATTCACATATAAAGACAAGAACTAAGAGGTACAAGAACCAAGAGGTACAAGCAAAAAACAAAAGTGAACTTTTTGGAGAGTATAGGTGGAAAACAGATGAGGCCATGGCTAAGTACAGACATTTGCGAAGTGTAAACTGGTTTCAAAATGGCTGTCCAATTTAAACTTAGCTTGTCCTGGTGCTAACCTTATACGTACAAGCCTGGTCCCAGTGACTGGCAATCAGTGTAAATCTGTAACTGTACAGAAGTTCCATGCACACAAACCTGTCTAAAAATTGCAAAACCAGTTTAAGATAAATGTGGATCTATGTAATATCAAACTTATTCAATTTAGGTCAAACTGGTGCATGGCACTTCTATATACTTTTCCTGCGCAGCTCCAGGGCTCTGGGTGCAGCCAATTATATTATTATTCATCACTGCTGGAGCTGAGCAAGTAAGTCCCAGTGGGGGGCGCAGTGAGAGGCATGGGGGTATAGGTTCACTGCGGGGAGGGTTGGGGGGCTAAAAGTAGCCCCCTGATCCCAACCCTCCGCCCCATGAAACATCATGAATCCCCCAAGCCTGCCAGACACTCCTGGACTGCAGCAGAACCCTGTGGGTTGCACCTATGTGCTCCCCACCCATGGGTCATGCTTGCCTTCCCCCCCACCACACTCATGGGTTGTGCCTGCACCTCCACACTTTGTTGGTCACATCTGTCCCCCCCACCCCACCTGTGGGTCATGTCTGCCCCTCACCCTCATGGGTTGCACCTCCCTGGGTTCCCGCATCCTGACTTACCTTGTATTGGGCAGCCATTCTGAACTGATTTCACTTCCCCTCATGCTGCAGACTGTCTGTACTTAGCTCAGGAGACAAGAAAATTATGGCAGAAGAGAGAACTGTCAGTCAATGGGCTTGTTCATGTCCAGTAAGAGTTAGTGACCAGCCCTGAAGCAGAAGAAGGAGTGGGCTTAGGTTTGAGGGTGATAGGGTCTTTAATGTAGAATGAACGAGTCCATGAAGGCAGGGTTGGATCCAGAGAGGGTGCCCCCAACCCGCTTTGATTTCTGTTCCACCCAAACTTTAAAACAAACTGCCTGGGAGGGGCAGTGGTATTTCTGTTCAGATAGTGCTGAGAGAGTCAACTGACTTCATGACTCCCTAATTCCTGTTAATTTCTCTCCACTCCAAGGGTGTTAATGACTATCCATCCTTTTTAATGGTCTTGAGGTTTCATTATTCAAACTATCCTTTCTTCTGCAATTTTGCTGTCTTATAGCCATTCTCGGTAATACCTTTCTTCTATTTTACAGCCCAGCAGACTGTGTTTAGCTCTAGCTAAAAACCTTAACTCGTATGTAGGGTTTAGATTATGGATTGTATGGGGTGGTTTGGGTACAGATGATCCTGCCTTAGGAAGGGGTTCGGCTACATGACCTCTAGAGGTCCCTTCCAGCCCTGTTTCTCTATAATTCTTGGTGTAGAAATGACAGTATGCCCAATACTTCACTGTCAGACAAGATGCTCAAGAAGACTAGATTTTGTTTTATGGATCTGAATAAGACATGCATGTTTAACTATAATAACTACAGGACTAATGATATGGTATCCTTTGACCTTTTTTTTTGCCTGGTTAGTTGTATTTTTAAAAATCTTTCTATTTACTGTAGCAGATTAGTGAGTGCATGCTCCGATAGTTATAGTTGTTTTTTGCTTCAGTCTTAAACTGAATAATGTAACGCAAGCCCCCTACCATATTAGTAAAACTTCTACTTTAACTGGAGAAAAATGTGTTGCATTATGTTGTTATGTGTCACACCACCTGCATCCACATTTTCAAAATCCTCGATTTGCCTATACATTAAGGATAGAAAAATCAAAAGATATTTGAAACTGGATACTCAAATGAATGGGAAGCCAATGAAGTTATGTGGGTATGTGTGTGAACTTTTTCTATATGGGAGGAGGCGGCAGAAGACAACTGCATGTCGTGTGGTTTACAGTGTGATAGCTTCTGGAAGCAGTTGTCAGGTAAGTGACCCATTCCAGTGCATCTAAAAGCCCTATGTGCATTTGTAATAACACTTTCTGGAGCCTGGTCATAATATACAATTTTTGAAAGTCAGGGGTTTTAACTAAGGCTTCCTCTTTCTAAGTTGTATTAAAAAAAAAGAAAAAAAAAAAGAAGGATGATTGCTTTGTGCAGCCAAAGTTTCAGTTGAAATGAACAGTTTTTAAGGTAGTAATTTCCTTTTTCCTCAAAGGAAG